GTAAATGGCTGATGGTTTTGGGGTCCTGCGAATGGTTCTAACATAGAATTTACAGTAGGGACGACATGTTAAGGAGTCAACTTTCTGGAAGTCGGATTTTTAATAGATAACTATTTTACTAAAATAATTGTGTCTTTTATTAGCGAATTTCCCATATAGGGAATAAGCTATTACCGTAGTACTCATGGTAAGACCTGGACGCGGGACCGATTTTTTTTTTCATTTTGAGGTCCCTAGAGGCCAAAAACACCATCCGTTCAAATTCATATATATATATATATATATTTATATATTTATATATTTATATATATATATATATATATATATATATATATGTGTGTCCGTTAGCACGATAACTCGAGCAAAAATGATCCGATTTTGATGAAATTTGGTACAAACGTATAAACCTACGTTTATTCGAACGAGTTCGCGATCCAGCATGATCGGACCATGGGAACGGGGGTTTACGGGGGGTTTTATGGGGTAAAAACAGGTTTTTCCCATTTTTGACCCAAAAAACATAAAATTTAGCAATTTCTTTCCAAACCATTTTGTAGAGCTTAAAAAAACAAATAATTTAGTATATTGAAGCGTTATTATGCGCCTAATGGTTACAGAGAAAATTCCAAAAAATTGTAAATTTAAAATTCCCATGTTATTCTTATGGAGAATAAGTAAATTGTTGTAGTTTGCTTGTTTATTAACATATTTTGATCAAATTTGGAAAATGTTTTTATTTCTTACTAACTATTAACGTTTTACAAAAAAAAAAAAACAGTTTTACCCTCCCTGATGCAGCAAACCTAAGTACCAGTTAAACTAATTCTATTTAAATAGAGAATAAATGTTATATATTTTAAGTAGACATTTCTGTGTAAATCCAATCAGTCAAATGGAAATTCGCTTAGTCTGCAGGTTTGCTGCGGCGGGGGTATTATATTATTCATTAGTAAACACATCAATCTGTAGCATGGCTAGAACCTATCATTTACAATGGGAAACAGAAAATGATATCCATAAACGTATCAAGTACAGTATTCAAATACTTCTTCAAAGCTACGAGTATTTTTAACTTTGTTACTTGAACGTTCTCGACACAGCGTCAATTGCCTAGTCAACTTTATGAGATTCTCTGTTTGCATATATTGAAGATTAATGAAATATGATATATAAATACTTCTATGTTTCTTATTAGATACATAGCAGACTGCTCTTGAGCAGTTACGTAAAGAAATTATACATAGGGTCTACGAAAGTAGCTTTCGACTAAAGAAACCCATCAAAAAGTCCCTTTGCGTTGAACGTATTAATGTGCGCACCCTAAAAGGCCACGCCCGAATAGTCCCAAACAAACAACTGGCGGATTAGCCACGGGGGTGGATTCCCAGAGGTGGTGTCTAGAAGGGGATTGCCCAACTCCGCGCAGTGGTCAAATTTAATCCGAGGAAAAGTTTTATGGCCCCCGAAGGGTTCAGCCCAACTCCGCGCGGTGGTCACTTTTAGGGCCGATTCCAACTCCGCGCGGTGGCCACTTGTAATATTAAGGTTACCCGTCAATTACAGACCCATCAACAAGTGTTTGAGACAGGGTAAAAGTGTGAAATGTTAATAGTTAAGTGTAAAATAAATGAATTTGACAATTTAATCAAAATATGTTCCTTTTACAGGAATTTACAACAGTTTACTTATTCGCCATAAGAATAACATGAGAATTTAAAAATAAGAATTCTTTGGCATTTTTTCTGTAACTATTATGGCGCTTTTACGCTTCGATATACTGAATTATTTGTTTTTAAGCTTTACAAAGTGGTTTCAAAAGAAATTTCAAACCGTTATACTTTCATAATATATACATAAGCCCCCGTTCACATGGTTCAATCGTGCTGGTTTGTGAACTCGTTCGAATAAACGGTTTACACGTTCACACCAAATTTAATCAAAATCAGATCATTTTGCTCGAGTTATCGTGCTAACAGACTTACATACATAAAATATATACCGGTATATATATATATGAATTTGAACGGATGGTGTTTTCGGCCTTTGGGAAATAAAAACGAAAAATTTAATCAGTGAGTCCAGGTCTTACCATGAGACCTACGGTAATAGCCTATTCCCTATACAGGGCGATTGATATAAGTGTGCCAGCCGTTTTATTCGAAAACCATAAGAGATATCAAAAAAAGTTAAAAGGTAAGTGCCTTGGATGTTTTATTTAAAAAATTATAGTCAAGCCAAGAAAAATATTTTAGCCACCATTTTTCCAATATGGCCGCCAACTTTGATTTTTCTTATGGAACACCCTGTATTTCATGATGTATTCTGGTAGAAAATGTAATTTTAAGACGATTTTATTCTTGTAATTATTTTCATAAACCTAACCGTTTCAAAGATAATAATGGTTTAAGTTGTGAAATTTTGAATGGTTTTAGAATAAAACAGCTGGCATGCTTGCTTAGGCCTTTATCGAAACTCTTTCTCATGCAAAAATTTCAAAACTTAACCATTATTATCTTTGAAACGGTTAGGTTTATGAAAAAAATTACAAGAATAAAATCGTCTTAAAATTACATTTTCTACCAGAATACATCATAAAATACAGGGTGTTCCATAAGAAAAATCAAAGTGGGCGGCCATATTGAAAAAATGGTGGCTAAAATAATTTTTTTGACTTGACTACCATTTTTTTAATAAAAAATCCAAGGCACTTACCATTTAACTTTTTTTGATATCTCTTATAGTTTTCGAATAAAACGGCTGGCACACTTATATCAATCACCCTGTAAATGGGAAATCCGCTAAAACGTTGGCCTGGGTCTGGATTCAATGAAAACCCTCTTCATAGACGTAAAATTTGCCAATTTTAATAAGATGTAAAAGAAATATGCTCGTAAACCAATTTCAGCCAATTTTTTCCCCAATTTGAGGTGTATAGCTAACTGTTTTATGAAACAGAGATTACAGCCAATTTGTTGAAGCAATCTGTGGTTGTTTACAAGACTAACATTTTTGAATTTGGTACTCAAGTTTATCAGTAAGCTCATAAACCCAGTGCTAATGTGAATGATTGAGTATTGTAGACTTTGGAACATATAAATTTACAGTCACTCTTTCTCACGGGCTTTCTAAAACTTCTTATATTAGTGGTTTTTAAGCTTCGTCTCCTGTTTTGGGTAGGCATATACCTTTTTACTTTCCCTTTCTTATAAATGATTAAAATATATCATAATTTCAAACTTAGAGCACAAACTCTCATCCGTCAGGGCTGTGAGAGCCAAAATTGACCACTGCGCGGAGTTGGGCATGTGCCGCGAGGGACCCGAAGTGACCACTGCGCGGAGTTGGGCAGTCGGTTTTGACAGATTTCTGACCACCGCGCGGAGTTGGGGTAAGCCCGTCTAGAATCCTTGTCGAAGGTTTTGAATGGACGTACTCGGAGCGACGGCGTGGTGGGGTGTCTAATTTTGTGTCTGAGACTGACTCTATGTGGAGGTGGGAGTGTCTAGTTTGGCACCAGAGTGTGTCTATTGTCTGTGTCTAGAGAAACGGTTAGATCTAATGCAACGATAGATGCAGTTTTTAGATAGACAGTTTTTGTGGGTCATTGTAGTTTTTGGCGTCGGAATATCGGGTACCAGGTTGCGCACTCGAATCCAGGAATACATCGGAATTACGCACTGGGTAAAGATTCCGCTTCTTGGATTGACAGGGATTGCGTATTTTTACGTTCTTCTTAGGGGTAATCGACCAAAGTTTGAATTTAGAAGCAGAAAAGTCAGGACGAATTTATTTTACACACAACCTTGTTACCCTAAATTTTTCAGAAGATGTGAAAGAACCGAAACCATAGCCTATAGTTGCCACCACAGCCACCAAGGATGGCGGTTTCAACCATTTCACGTAAGTAATTGTCTTAACAAAGAGATTAGATTCATTAATTGCTGTACATCTATCCCAGTGATTTTCATCTCGCCCGATTTTTACGCGAGTACGACACTTTTTCAACACACATTTCTTTTCCCCTTAACCGACCTTAAGCATCGTGGGAATTATAAAAAGGCACAAAACATTCTAAATTGATTTTCAGCCCATAACCTTTCCCGGTTCCATAATCCTCGGTTATTGTTGGCCAGTGAAGTGTCATTGTGAGGGGAGGGGAGGATCTAGGCCCTTGTACCGTTAGTCTATACATAGACGCTAGTTAGGGGCTGAACCCGGTCTACTGGCCACTAACTGGCCTCCCAGCCAACAGGGGGAAGTTATGGTACGAAATTGTCAAAATTATGGCACTTATCTGAACTTAATTGACTGCTAGACCAGGTTACCTCACTCAGAAAGCTACACAAGCCAACACGATATACCTAAAATATTCGCAACGGTAATACGCAATATGATTTTAAATTAAATTACAATCTATGTGCATGTATTATAAGAAGTAAAAATTAAGAAAAGAATAATCTAAAACACTTATAAATTTAATACCTGGATTAATTTCTGTAAATATATTTTTATAATTGGTGAATTAAAATGGTGATGAGATTGTTGTGACAATTAATATTTTGCCCTATAAACTACACATCCATTAAAAAATTTTGATAAAGTGAAATTAGTCAAATCTTTTACTCTAAATGTAAAATGTATATTTACTTTTTTCACAATTCAACTCTGATATTTCTCAAGTATTATCAGTAACAAAAACTGTCAAAAGATTCAAAAAATTTGTATTGGATAAAATTGCATTACTGAATTTGTTTTTATGTGTACAGTACTATGAAATAACTGCCATCGTTTATTAGTTTGCATTGTGTTTTCATTTGTTATCTAAAGTAAATAGCACCCTAACTCACCAACACAAATTTAACCTTAATGTAAACAACTTTTTGTTTTGACACGGTATATTGCTTTGAAAAATTATCGTACTACCACAATAATTCTGGTACGATACGATAATTATGGTGCGCGCCGCCGCCGCCGCCCGACGAGAGCGCGTCAGTCGAGTGTATGTGTCAGTAGAGGGAGCGTCGCTCGCTCCTTTGTTTTTACAATTGTTGTTTATAACGTTGTTTGTGCCCGTGTGTGTCCGCGGATGGTATTTTCACGACAATTACAATGGCCAGACTAGTGTAGTGTTGGTGATAGTGCAACCGTTGGATCTTTAATTGAGGATTAGCCGAGTTACGAGGATTTTTAAGGTAGGACCAAGTTTGTTTATTGTTGGCGGGTGGTTTTCCTGCGTGTGGATATAGAATGTTCTTGTAAATTTGAATTTTTCAAGGACTTATAGGATAAGGAAGTGTTGAAAATGTGTTTTCATAGTCAAGATTGAATTGTGAACTATTTTTGTTGAATTTATAAATTACACTACGACGGTCGTCGATTGTTTGTATAATAGTTTAGGAAATAAGTACTATTTTAAGGTTTTAAATAACGAAATTTATTTTTTTACATAAAATTGTATACCGGTATTATCTACACTTCTTCGAAAGTATTAACTTCTAACATTGTAAATAATTATATTCAAGAAATTCCCAAACAAGGTGAAATGATCTCTACCTTAAATTTAGATGCATTTTTTGGATCAAATTACATCATTTTACATGTAAATTTTGAGGGAGGGAGGATGTTAAGCTATTTTTTTTATATGTTTGTTTGTGTCTCTCCGTACTCCTCATATGATCATTTATGAGCAACATATATGTGCCAGTTAGAAGAATTTGTATTAAATAAAAAAATCATCTTAAATATATTGACTCGGTAGGGTCAATTTCTCAGTCAACCTTTTGATAAGCGTGAAAAATGCTTTACGGCACCGGTGTCATGTGATTGAAAACAATGTAATATCAATTACTAAGTCATCAGTTAGTTGTAAGCGTTATTCAATGAAAAATATCTCTATTTACAGAATTAAGTCAAAGATGGTTAATTTTGTTAATGGTTGTTTTAAATCAATCAAAGCCCTCCGGGTGGATTATACCATTCAATATTCTCTGTTACTCGTTGATTGTATGTATCAATCAATCAATCAATTCAATCAATCAATCAATTACCGGTATTTAAGTGATTGTTGTAACATGAAATAGGCAAACTAATAGGATTCTAGGGTATTTTCTTTTTAAATCGTCGTGTTTAGGGACTTAAATATTGAATATCACACTGATACTATAATTTTGAAAATTTTATTGAAATGAGTTCGAGATCGATCAACTTGTTTTTATTTTATTTTTTTAATACCTATAAATATTTGTTTATATACTTGATGACCTTTAACTACTTTAAATAAACTGTATTAATGGTAGGCCTATATATTATTTTTTCCCAAATGCAAGAAGATGAAATCTAGAATATCTTAGCACTTAGCATAACAGATATGTTTTTATGGTATGATTTAAATTCGCAAACATCTGAAACAATACTAATGTTACATCCATAGCTAATATAATAAACAAACTACCCATTTATTAAATCAGTTGAACATGATGAATAATAAGTAATCAAATATCAACAATACCAATGAATGAGTCAGTGTTAAAACAAATAAGCAAATAAGATAACGAACAAGTTAAATATAGCAGAATGTATTCCTGAGTTTGTTTAAAAAGAATAGTTGGGAAAGAAATCAATCACTTAAAAAATAAAGTATTTCTTCTGCCAAGATTCTAAAAAAAAAACATTCACCGTTTTTAATTTGAAATCTTTTTTGTGTGTAGAATTATCTGTTTGAAACATCTTTATCTAAATGTGAACCAAATAATTGTAAATATATAAGTGGATTTTTGTTTGTTTAGTTGGGACTGGAATAAAATAAATATTTGCTACCACACCGTTGACTTTGGATATTAGGGTCGTTGACTTTTGGATCTTGTAGGAAATGTACCAGGTGTAGCCGGGTGGTATTAATTTTACAGCTACGCACGTCGCACAGGCCTATTATTGTACGTAGGGATTCCCTGGATAGAAGTGGAATATTGAAAAAGGAAATAACACTTATCTTGAGTAGTAGGGCCCATCGATGTATAACTACCAGTAGTTATAGTTATTGTAGTTATATGTCGATGGTAGGGCCTACAAGATGTGTTTCTACCTTGAGATTATTGACTTTTTGATACAGCACTGGTGACGGCGGATCTAGATGCAATCAATATTTGTATTCAACTACCTAGTCTAAAATGCGCCACTCACAGAATGCATTACTTCCACAATTTTAATATTAAGTGGTCCTTCGGTTTTCTACTATTGTTGATGTGATTTTGTTCGCTAAGAAAATACAATTGCTTTTTAATAATTCTTCACTTGTTCTAGCTTTGTGTATTGTAAATGTTTGTACATCTAGTTGCTGTCTAAATAATATTTTCTGTATTCGTTTCTGATAATTTGATAGTTTTTGTGACCTACGCTATAGTTTGAAATAATTAGGGCCTAGTTGTCGTTTCAGTTTAGCTAAAAAAATTGGCATACTTGACATACATCATCATTTGGATTGCTTTAGTACATAGAGGTTTAGATTACCTGGTTACTGTAAACACGATCCTTGGTAGTTTAAAACTACTAAAGCTGTATCGTGCTGTCAATAATGGAGATCATCTTCAGATTAGAATCTGCTTATCCTTCATGGAGTTTTATTTAAATCTCCTGACGAACTCCTTACGTAACAAGGTGATTTAAACCTTATAGTTAATTCAGACGATCCACAGACCATTCCATCATGACACTAGCATAGGCTACTGACGGTAGCTAAGTTCAACCCCGTACATTATTATTACACAGCCGTAAAATGATGTAAAAGAATGATTAATGTATGGTCCCATTTATAAACTAATCATTTCATCTTCACAGTGTGTAATCCAAGGAAAGATGTCATGAAATGTCCATATGTTGTACGTCACTTATCCAAATCTCTGTGACATTTCAGCCTAGTATGTTCAGCGGTTTTTGCCTTCGCCTGAAAAACAAACAGAAACTACGACTATTTTATCATATCATGTAATTTTTATAGCTTAACAATGCGTCTTAAACAGTTCATTTCGAAGAAGTAGTTAACTGATAGAATGTATTTGGTTTAACCGTTTAATGTAAACGCAACACTCAGTTCAGGACGTTGTGTAGTCAATCTGATCCCAAGGGAAATGTAACCGTGTTCGAGGACAAGTAGGTTGTTTCCTGCTAATGCGGGTTTTATGTCTACAATGTACAATCCTAGATGGTTATTTCGGTTACTTTATTTGTGAGGTAAAAGTCAATGGTCTAACCTTCTACTTTAGGTACAATAAGAGGGTATATGACTTTTTACTTTCTCCTTCTATACATACTACCTATATGGAGAAAGTATTGTTTTCGTTTGTTAGGATATTTTTGTTATGGAAATATCCGTTTTTGGAACTGGTTTTCGGAGTGACGTCTGTATTTTTATGTGGATGGGATTCGGAACTTTTTTGGGCCGATTTTGATGAAATTTAGTAGCCTATATGGATACTAATCCGCAGAATTATCAGGGTTTTCAATTTCTCAAAAACGGCTCGAACGATTTTGATTAAAATTCAGTATGTTAAATAGTCCTTTTAACTCTAATCAAAATTACCGTTCAAAAGATTTTACTCATGTGAGTTTTTCCTACAAAAAGTCATCTAACTACTGCTTACCCGTTATAAAAGCTTGTTGACAAGCAAAGAGAGAAAGTATGTGTCAGATTGCTGATAGGCCTACTGTTTATCACAGGGAAGAATTGGAAACAACTAAAGTGCATTAAGAATTACAAATAGTGTGTTATCACTCTTAGTAGGTTTCATGTCTTGTATCCAAGCGAAAGTACGCGTTATATTTTTGGTATCAGACATGTGACGCACGGGAATAACAAGAAACGTTTTCATTTTTTGCCATTTAAATTTCGTAATGTATAAAGGTGGGTAGGATAAAGGTTGAGGTTTTCAAATTAAGTTCTTGTTAGCATTTCACACGTTGTTTTAAGGATAAAATACGCATTGAAGGAAACACATAACAATAAAAGAGCCATAAACTAAAATTAAAACAGAAACAAGTCGGGTTTATTGCTTGTATACTTAATATACAGTATATGTTTTTAAGTTATTGTATGATATATTATTTTTACGTAAATAATAATCCCACAACACCACAGTGTGTGACGGCTAGCGGCAGTGTGCCATCTTTTATGGGAAAACACGGAGAATTGGCTTCCAGCCATCGTCGCCAGACCAGCAATCGGTTTATAATAGGCGAGTGTAAAATGTAAATGGTTATTATCCTTGTACACTACGGTAAAGCCTACTTAAATATTTTTAGTAGTAGATTGGTTTGTAAAGGGGTTTTATATGGTTTAATAGTTATTTATGAACATGATTTAGGTAGGATAATATTTTTATAATTAATTTGTAGAACAAGAAATAAATTGTAGCAGTCTAACACATACTTTCTCCCAGTCTGTCAACAAATGGGTGGTGGGAGAGTATGATATTTTTTGTAGAAAATCCTAAAGTTGCAAAATCACTTTTGAACCGTAATTTTTACAGCATTGTTAGCATTAAAAGGTCCATAACATACTGAATCGTAATTAAAAGCTTTCGAGAAATGTTTATGAATATATAATTCCTCCGTGATTTTATTGGGCTTTATTGGAAAATCACCATCCAAAATTAAAATGAAAAAAAAAACTCCTGGATTAGTGACATGCCAAATTTCCTTAAAATCGCTCTCTGGTGTAGTCTGTATCTTGCACATCCACACACATACACACTACTTTTTCCATGTACTATGTATAGGGGTGACAATAAAGAAACTTATTTTCTGAACAAAATTTATTATTACAAATATATTTTATATTCTGAAAAGGTTTTAGCATTTTTTTATTGGGATAGTAGGTAATAACACTTTGAAATGTGTAATCACACTTTATTGTTTATCTACCCTCATTTTGTCTGTGCAACATCGAACGTAAACAATCGCATTAATTGATACAATCTCTCAAGATGTGTAGCAACTCAAGATAAACAACCCAGGCGATAAGAAGCGGTAAAGCTGTCAGAAAGGGCGAAAACAACCCTATTAATTGTGCAAATATATTCATTCGGGGTGAAAACAGAGGGTTCGAACTACCATGAGACGTTGTGAAAAGTTGGAATGAAGTTTTAAAGTACTAAACTCCACTTGGCAACACACGTTTGTGCTGTTTTCCGATCTTCAT